CCCTCCCTCCCTCCCTCCCTCCCTCTCCCCCTCCCCTCCCTCCCTCCCTCCCTCCCTCCCTCCCTCCCTCCCTCCCTCCCTCCCTCCCTCCCTCCCTCCCTCCATCCCTCCATCCCTCCTCCTCCCTCCTCTTCTTAATCTTCTCTTCTTCATCTTCCTTTTCTCCTTCTATCGCTCCCTCTCTTATACATATCTTTAAAATGTCTCCCGTGGTACATGTACCTACATCTACATGTACATGTGTCTTGATACATCTCTCCCTACCTCTCCCTCTCTCTCTCTCTTTCTCTCTCTCTCTCTCTCTCTCTCTCTCTCTCTCTCTCTCTCTCTCTCTCTCTTCAGTGCTTGCAAAGCTTCCTCTTCCCACTGTGTCTCTTCCTCTCTTCTTCCCAGAAATACGTCATTTGTCCCTCTTCTTCATAACTGTCTACTTCTGGCTGAACATCCCTAAGGGATATACTTTCATTTTCATCCATCTTTCATTCTCTGTACACTGTACATACACATACATGATCCTAATGTGATCACCCTCGCCCCCCCCCCCCTCCCCCCCTCCCCCCAAAAAACGGACTTCCCTCCCTTCTTTACCTCTCTCATCCTTTGTCTATCTCTTTCACCTCTGCACATTGTACGCTCTTTCATTGTCTTCTTTCTCTAAAAGTTTGTGCCTGTTTCTCTCTGTCTCTCTCTCTCAATCCCCTCCCCCCCCCCCCCAATCTCCTTTCTACCTCTCCTTCCCTTCCCTCTCTCCCTTCCTCTCCCTTCCTCCCAACTTCTTCCATCTTTCCCCCTCTCTCTGCTACACTAACAAGCACAACGAGTTTGCAAACCCTTATTAATTCTTTCCTCCTTGGCTGCCTCCTCGATAGGAAGGGGGCAGAGTTCCCGGGTCTCGGTGAAATCTCTCCCAAAATAGAGGCCTGTTCAGACACCACTCCTCTTGCCATTTCCTCACAAAGCCTCCCTTTGCTTGTCGTTGCTATCGGCAACATAGATCACATCTGCGCTCGCATGTCCCCTATAGTCTGCCAGCTTAGTTGGGTATTTTCCATACCGTCTGTCTCCGATATAAGAGGCAACCATGTGACTTGCAATGTACATCCGTGCAGAGATTACACTGTATAAACTTCTCTCTTTTTTAACATTTAGCTAACCATCAAATTTCTTGTTTTTGCAACATTATTATTATTTCTTCAATACAACAACTAAACATATTCATAACATAGGAAAATATATATGACAACAATTACATGTGTTATACATGGAAGAAGGAGTTGAATTGTGTACCAAAGTGTGAAGAAATTTTTAGATGTAACATCGACAGAAGTAGCCAGATTTGATCCAAACATGAGTGCTTCAAAATAACAATAAGTTTTTATTTCAGCTTGGGTTGATTAAACTAAGAATTGTCTAAGTTCTCGACAATGAAAAAATATGTAGTTCCATGACATAATGTAAACACTCATAATCCTAAACATTGAACTGGTGCATTGTGTTGTTTAAACTTGTTTTTTTGTTCCTTTTCTTTTGTTCGAAAATGATGTAAATAAATTCATTTTGTCTAGATATGTATTGTTTACATCAATAAGCTTTTAATTTTGTATTATGTTGAAGGGCCTCCACGGAAAACAGTATTTAACTACCGGTACTGATGGAGCCACCTTTTCTAAAACAAGACTAATAAATATATATAAATAAATAAATAAATAAATAAAATAGATTTACTAGTACACACTACACCATGCATATTCATGAAAATAAAAAGACTTCTGAGAATTTTGCAGACACAAATACGTCTGAACTAGGGAAAATACAACTTAATTCAAAGTAGGAGCTTCTTGATCACAGTGGGAGTTGCTTTCGACATGCTCCCCTAATCTGTCTGCTGAAACCGACAGATCACTATGAGTACAAAGTGATACAGCATGAATCAAGTAGGAAAAGATATGGGGGGTGTTTCACAAAGATCCTACATGTAAGCTGAACTTATCTCTAAGTTGGACTTAAATATTATGGAAAGCCATTAGCATCTATGAAAATATTTTGTAAAAGTTATTTAAAAAAGGAATGAAATGTTGATTCAAATCAATATTTTCTATTATCAAGGAGATTTCTTGTTCTTGATGTGGAATTTATAAAAGTCTAAATGTTTGAATTTTCGCTTTTGAATATATTTTATTTTAAGGCTACAAATGGCTCTCTATAATTTTTAAGTCACACTTAGAGTTAAGTTTGACTTAGGATCTTTGTGAAACACCCCCCTGATTTCCCTTCTGTGATGTACATGTATGTACAACACCATAGCAGTGCTGCAGGATATTGCTTCCTTATGTGTTTGGTATTTCGAGTACCGAGTATACTAGAAAAGATGGAATGTGTGAAGTTTGCTGCATATTTCTGTGATACTCATAAGGCATCAGGTTTCAATACTCCACTTAATAGCCTGTATCGTCTACAGATAGAAAACAGAAAAAATTCTGTCTTTCAAACTTCAAAGTTTCTTGTGTGAATGCATAGACTGTACAAGCACTACTGCATGGGTGTACAGACTGTATGCTTTGAAGTGGCTTTAGGGGTTGTATTTGAAGTATTCATTCAATGAATTCAAAACAGTGACTCATATAACTTGCCATTTTTATCATATTTTCACCCTTTCCTTCCCCCTCCCTGTTTGGATACCATTCAAAGTTAAAAGGAAGCTTCAAAATCAAATGTACTGTACTACAAATAGAGTTACTAATATCAAATTTTTGTTAGAATGAATAAAAATAGATGTTCTTATAACCATGCAGTAGGTCAATTACGCAATATAAAACTTGATAAGAATTTAAATTATGTTCCTACACATACAAGTGTTATCTTCTATCCTAAGAAAAACAAAAAAGTTATTTAGCATTATCACATCAAAACTTAATGTGACTTATTAATATCATGACTGTTCCATTCTATATTCAATAAAGGTCATAGTATTTTATAAATTAATAGCAAAGATTGTCTTGAAGAATTATTTACACTATCCCTACACTTGGGGTCTTACTTGTATTCATCTGTATTCTACCTTTGCCTATGACTTTGTGACATACTTTATGACGTATACATGTTTGTACAGTGCACTTGGGAATTGTTCTACGTTCACTTCGTACGTCTTTGGACTATGGCCTCATCAACGATGTCTTTGCTCTGATAAGCCTTGCACAACTGACAAGATACAACGAGTGTTCAGAAGCCATTAAACCCAAATAGACTGTTCAGACTTCAGACTATAGAGACTTACATATACAGTCAAACCTGCTTTAGTGACCACCTTTCTACAAAGACCACCTGTCTACAACAAGCACATGTTTTGTTTCCCTTGAAAATGGTTTCTCATTGAGACATGTAATAAAGGAACCTGTTTACAAAGACCACTTTTTGTGTTTCCCTTTGGTGGTCGCTGTAGACAGGTTTGACTGTATATGAAACTAGTTTGAAGAAACATCATATAGAGATTGATCGTATAGCAAAAGAGCAGTGCAGACCACGGCCCCACAAAACTTAGCAAATGATCGTACGATTGATTTTTACAATTGACTGCAGTGATCACTACTTAAGCAATCGATCGCAAAAATCAATCATTTGGTCAATTGCTAGGCTTTGTGTTAAAGGGCCTACACTGTAGATCATATAAAGAAAGGTCAAATAAAGAAAGGTCAAATAAAGAAATTAGTTTTGAAGACATCAGTCGCTGGCCCTGCCTAGTCATGAGATTTTCCTTCAATAGAATATTTATACTTTTTTTATGAATATCATATACACATACATACATGTACTGTACATACATTGTAACATGAGTTTTTCTACAAATCGTTTTGTTACATATTACATGATGTTTCTCTATTCAATGTTCAGATTTTTGTTTAAAGGCATTTACTTTTAATAATATCGTATAGCTATACGATTCTCAGGATAAATCTACATTTACAGTAGTTTAATTTTAGATGTTTGTCAGTAAAATAACATACACACATGTACGATGTATGTATGTATCTGTCCACAATCAGCTACACAACCTAATGTAAACACCCTCCACCCACCCCAAAATGAGCTTATTGGAATTGACTTAATAAGTTATGCTGATGAGTACCTTTAATGGAACAAGAAACAGCTGTCACGCATTCGAAAGGCGGTAATCATATACACATAAAGCATGTCATACAAATTTCTGTATTAGTCTCTACTCATGAGCTGCATTTACAAGTTGCAAGCAAAAACTGTCAGTTTTTCTCATGCTAAGACAATATATTCTTGTATCACACTCAAAGCCATCAAATATTATATAAGCATCCAAGTCTACTTAACATTTAGATAGATTATATCTTTCATATTCCTACCTGGAACTGACAAGAATGTATAGATCAAAACTATCTCAGACACACATTTGGATTCTGGCAAGCGATGCAGTATGGAACATTACCAGCATACAGTACATGTACATGGCCGAGTATTATAAAGAGTTACGATTGATCTTAAACTTGATCAATACACGATGAGCCATAGAATTACGCTCAACATTAACCTTACGATCAATCAAAAGGCTTTATAATACATGGCCCATGTCACATTGTTGATGGCTGGTATTATAAGGAAATACATGTGTTCGTGTCAAACAAGGAAATCTTGTCCGAACTTCAAGGTTATATATCTTGGATTTTGTAACTATAACCTGGTGTTGTGGCTCTTTGAAGTCTTTTGTACAGAAACCCCAGTATTTCTGCATCTAGAACACAACTGGGATAGAATCGTTGTTGTTCCGGAAAATAAAATGTTGTTTAAAACTCAACCACGCACCATGTCAGGAGTGTCATGCGGAAATGGATCTCTAAAACATCACCATTTTTGCCAGGTTTGCAGTAATGTTAAATAAAATACTTGATGGAACATTTTCTACATATTGCAAACAGTTGACTAGCATTTTATCACTGTTTAATGAGGTAGAAAAAAGAATAGTGCATGGTACTTACCAGTTCCATTCATAATTCCTGAATCCCTGGCAGGGGGGTTCCTTGCAGGGGGACTCCTGGGTGTACCTCTAGAAGGTGGTGGTGGGGGCGGTCCTCCCACTATTGACGGCGGTCTTGGTCCTTTATCCCTGGATGGTGGCGGAGGAGCAGAATGACCGGTCGACGTTCTGTTAGGCGGCGGTGGCGGCGCCCTCGACGACGAACTTGAAACCGTTGACGGTGGCCGGCCTTGACTTCTGGAAGGCGGAGGCGGTGGTGGTGCGGTCCCCGGCCTGGGGGTATCTCTTGGGGGTGGGGGCGGCCTGCCACCGGGGGGCTGCCTTGAAGGCGGTGGTGGTGGTGGACCTGTACTGGGACCATTGGATAGTTTATTATCAATCCTCCCTTGAGGGGGCGGGGGCGGGGGCGTCGACCCTTTACTAGGGGGATCTCTCTTTGGGGGAGGCGGCGCTCTACTATTTCTTGAGGGTATAGATGATGTGGGAGGGGGTGGTGGAAAATTATTTGAGGGTTTTGAGGATGGTAAAGATGATGGGGGTGGAGGGGGAAAACTTGTTGATGGGGGTCTAGGTCTGTTACTACTAGGAGGTGGAGGGGGCGGTGCTCTGTCTGCTGCCCCGTGCCCATTGCTGCTGCCTTTATTACTAATTCTGGCCGACACCGGGTTGTGAGTGTTCTGTGGTTGGCTGGGCAGCGGCCGTGAGTTCCCTGAGGGATGGGGTAATGGTCGTGAAGCGGGAAGTCCGCCACCGCTGGGCTTTCCACCATTACCAAATTTGTGTCTTGGGGGCTGAGGTGACGTTGACAGGCCTCTGTTGCTATGATGGACATGGTTTGATGAGGGTGCATGTAATGAGGGTGTGTTTGATTGTGCTAGAGAAATCAAAGAGAGAAACAGCATTCTCAGTATTATTTCCACCTCTAAACATTGTCCAGTGCAATATATATCTATATATATCAGTGATCTCAGCATTCTTATTCTTTAATTAATTAGTAATTTCATTATTAAACAATTTAGCCATATCTACCAAATACAGGTGTATCAAGGTTTTGAGCACTTAACTGTGCATCTAAACCTGTATCTAAAAGTTCTCGATAGTGAAATTAAACAGCTGAATATAGCCAAAATCGTTCATTTTCTAAATGATTTAATGAACTTTTAGATTTCATTCTAATTTGGAATATAGAATATATTTCTTACTTATTACTTGCATAAGAATTTGTCATGATAAGCAAAGACATTTGCTCAAGGAATCCCGCCAGAATCCGAGTATTCTATTGGTTTCACTATAGATTGTGAAGTAAAATGTACTGATTATATCAACAAAATTGAGGCTGTGATCATAGGACAATCTTTTGAAAGAACTCCAAAGAGTATTTTCTAGCAAGAAAGATTTAAAGAAACCATAGTAGGCCTACAAACTTTTTCAACTTTAATTTCTATCTGTTTTATGGAAGATTACCCAATGTTGTAAATACAAACCTGTTCTTAATGACAAACCAATAGCAAGTTTTAAGCAATGTTGGTAAATTAGGGATACATGTAAAGGTTTGTATGGATGAAGGGATGTAGATTGGGTTGAAGGTTCTAACTAAAATGAAAAGGCTTAAACTGTTGATGAATTAAACTTTATAATAGTCACAAAATCACATTTCAGATTATTTACCAGTACCAAGCATTTGAGAAACTTAACACATTCTAAAAAGATACAATTTATCAATTTTCACTTTCAAATAAAAAGCACTAGTCACATTATAAATATTGTTTCAATGTAATAATCATGCTAGTTCATCTTTCTTAAAACATTATGTAAATGTATTACATAAACATTTTTATGGGGGAACATCAGACAGATAATTATAACGTGAGATTAGCTTGTTCTCACTATTGACTATTTGAAAAAAAAAATTATCGGAACTCTGAAAATTCAATTGGACCTCTATAAAAGGGCTTAATACAGTATTTTTGTTAGATCAACATCTTTCATAATTAAATACAACAGTGTAAAATGTGTATATGGCCCCTGTTTCATGAAACTAATATCAATGACAAGTTACAATCACTGTATAAGCTATTGAAATCATGGCATTTGATTGGCTATTTTAAAGAGTGAATTTGTTATAGAACTTTGGCATTTGTTATTGATAAGAAGTTTTGTGAAACAGGCCCCTGTACCGTACTGTACAACTACAAGTACAAGATCTGGGCATCGTTTCATGAAACCCTCATAAGTACAAGTTCACTGACATCCCACTGAAACGCATGTTACATTTAATACACACGTTTCAATGGGGTGTCCGCCAACTTGTACTTACAGTGTATGAAGATTTTGTGACATGCTGCCCAGGGTGCTATTCAATTGAAATCAACTGTGCCTTAAGAGGTAAAGGTTTAGGCTACACTACACCGTATCCCACATGCATTCCTTGTAAGGGATTTTTCAAAAAGAAATCTTCTCCGCTTTTACTTTAGAAGTGAATCATGCAGAGGATAAATAATTGCAAAATAATGTGTGTCCATAAGAATGTGCATCCTGTTACATCATTGGTACGATGTGCAGCCAAACATGGGGAAAATATGACGTCCATCATGATTTTCATCATGACACATCAGAGAAAGAAATGTTTCTAATTTTGAGTAATCATCATTAAACGTCTTCTAAAATTATACTGGTTCTGGTATGCTTGCAAGTAATATGGAATCTCTCTAGGATGGAAAAAAAGGTGTTTATTCAGTCAAGTTTTGTACAATTACGGCAATATTGTGTGTGAACTTGTAGGTATCACATATTCAAGCTTCGCATCATTTTTTTCTCTTCTCTTCTGTTCCTGCAGTATGGGATTAGTTTTTATTAAATTGCTTCGCAGCTTGTAACTTTTGTATTATGTTTGGACCACAAGAAGAAAAAGAATCAATGTGGGCGAAGTTTCTGCTTTTACAGATAACCTTTTTCAGATAAAAAACCTGAAGCAAATGTCTGATCACCATTTTATTGAATCTCACCTGAACCGCCGCCTCCGCCGCCCCTCATTCCTGATGGCTTCAATTTGGGCATTCCACCTGCAAATAGCCCTCCAAGACCCCCTCCTCCTCCTCCTCCAAATCCTCCTCCGCCGCCTCCTCCTCCTCCCCCTCCTCCTCCGCCTCCTCCCCCTCCTCCTCCTCCTCCTCCACTAGGTTTTGATGGACCTTAAAAGATGAAAGATAATAAAGGGAAAGTAATCAGTTAGACTGTAGGTTTCCATGAAACACTATGAAAGATGGAATATATCTACGTTAAGAGACAGAAAATCAAACATAACTCTAAACATAAAGAGGGCCAGACTAACATTATTTTCTTGTGGTCGGGAGCAAGAGCTGCTGGGTCTGTCTTGTGTTTTTTTTTGGGGGGGGGGCCATGTGGTCCGCACCCCTCTTAGTGTCAAGCCCTGTCATATTTATTCAGGATCTTGGCAGATAACACCTGGCATCGCTTTATCCATGAAAAAAAATACATCAGTTATAGTTAAATTGTTTTAATAAATGACCCGTTTCTCTATCTTACGAAAACTTATACACATGTAGTCAATTACCCCACTGAGTTATACTGTATTAAACAAAATATATACATCTGTGAACTGTTTTTTACTACATGGGCAGGTGAAAGCTATTTCATCCCATACTGGCCACAGCTTAGATTTCAGTGTATCTGATGATTGTATGAAGCAAATCTCTGTGTATATTGAGACGCACCAGTGTATAAAGATGCACCCCTATTTTTTAAGACAAAAAAAAAGTCTCTTCCCTTCAAATTAGGAACGTAGCTTAACTTCAATTAGTAGATCCTATTCTTTATTCGCATTTTGTAATTTAGGATGAGACACAGAGATGTTTGTAAACCAATAGAAAGTAGCATTTTGAGGACTCAAAATATCCTGTACCTGTCTATAAGACGCACCCCCTACTTTCAAATTTTCCGGAAGAAAAAAAGTGTGTCTTATACACAGAGATTTACGGTAGCCCTGCTATAACCTTGATCACAGATGAAGTGAGTATAAATTGAATTAATTACCTAGCAAAGGGCCGCTTTTGTCCACTGTTACTGTCTTTTTGAGTTTCATTCCTTTGTGAATATCCCCAAGAAGCGCCCCTCTGTTTTTCTGCTCATTCTTGTTGAGGTTGGGCGGGGTCGTGTTGGCCTGTTTAAAGGTGGGCGGGGGAGGGGGCCCCGGTGGGGGCGGCGGGGGTGGCATCTTGTCAGAGGGGTCCCTGATCTAGATCCCTCTCTCAGCCCTACTGGGTCTCCCTCTGGTTATCTCCCTGGAATGGTGGTGGTAGGAGGGTTTTCACAGCATCCAGGCAATAGTACCTACCAAGAAAAAAGAACAAAGAAGAAGAAAAAAAATGTTAAAGCGATACTGAACTGATGAACTTTGTGCCGTAGCGTAGTTTATTACACAGTGCCATCTCATGTCAGACTTGCCAACAATGCCCACCTCGCAGACAGAAGACTTGATGCGAGATCCAAAGGCGCAGCTAGGAAAGCAGGGAGTTACAGAACCATACTGCTCAGTGAAAAAAATACACGGGACTCGGGACGAATTAGCCCCCGAAATGCTAAAAAGAGCCCCCAAAAGTCATAAAAGACCCAAAAAAAATTTGCATAGAGTTCAATGCAAAATAAATTAAAGAGTGTTATTTTCATGCAAGCAAGCTTGAAAAGTAGCCCCCGAAATTGTTAGGGTATTTTTTTCCCTGATACTGCTACAGCTCACCTGTAATGGCACTAGGAGTTTTTCCAGTACAGAATTCAACGAACAATACAGATTTACATAACTGGGCTCAAAATTGACAACCAGAACAATTGCACAAATTAAGATTGTGGGAAGTCAACTGCCCTCCAATTCCCAGTTTGTCCTACATGTGCATGCTTTTTACAGCCCTCCAGCATCAGTTATGTTGAGACAGAGTTTAAACTTTGGATAATTTGCAAAACATTGTATATCCCCCCCCCCCTGCCACTCCCCAAAAATATTAAAAATTAATCATTTTATCATAATCATCATTGCAATAAAAGTCACGTGTTATACTTATATCGCACGGAATCGCCAATTGCCTGATGTTGTATCCACGATAGAAGCATTTCTAAAACAAACTCTATACCAGAATTTTACATTGTATGTTACACAAATACTGTAAATAAACTTTTCTAATAATTATATTTAACATTCTCTATATCAGAAACTGCTAAGGCGAAAGGTAAACTGCAGTGTCATGCAGATTTGACACCTCATTGTGATCCATGGCCAGAGTCATTACACATTCGTGAATTTAACCAAGTGTCGATTGCTAGGAGAGACTGTTGTATTGGTAGGCTTCTCATACATAAACTGTACGTTCAAAAGTGTATCTGAAACCTCTTGGTTATTAAAGTGGCTCAAGCATATTAGAGAATGTCATGGATAATTGGCTGTCCTGTTTGCATTAATAGTCTCAACCCACAAACCTCTACCAATCATTAATCATTGTTGCTTTAAAGGGAACAGTCACACAAAGTGAGGACAAAAAAAGTTGATTCGCATGTATAGTATATATCCTTAAGCAGGGCTTATACTATCTTGCGGGAGATTTGGATTGAGGGTGTGCACGCATGAACCCCCTCTAAATATTTTGAAATGGGGGTGGGGGGGAGGAGGGGTCCAGGGTTACAATTTGAGGCTCATATCACACTCACCTGTTGGGTATCAAGCCCTGCCAGACATAATCATCCCCCCCCCCCTCCCCCAAAACATAAAAATAATAATAATAAATAAATAAATAAATAAATAAATAAATACAGATACAAATTTAACTCCCAGGAGATAAGACAGATAGATTGCTAGATAGAAAGATAAGATAGATAGATACCGAAAGATACATACATATAGACAGACAGACATAGATAGATAATGTAGATACATGTAGATAGATAGTTAGATACATGTACAGTAGATAGATACCGGTAGGTTGAAAACTAAACTACATAAGACATGCAATTCTGATTAAGTACAAAAAATGGATGACGATGTTGTTGTTTCAATGTCAGGAATTTGGAAGAGGGAAAACACTACAAATATATTGTACTTCGAGACGTACTGGGAGGTTACATTTCACAAAATTTAATACAAATGTAAAGTGCTTTAAAGTTAGCAATTTTCCAAATACATGACAATTGACAATAAGCTTTTTTCACCCAAGACCCAAATGCTTCTTCTTACCTTCAAACAATTCTTTGAATTCACACAGAAAGGAAATGACAGAGCTAAAGGGATGTCCTTGCAAGGAAAACAAAATCAGACAAGGGAGGTCTATATAGGCTATGTTCACACGAAACCACCTTAGCTTTAAAACATTAAGATTGCAAAAAATTCTAAACAAAGATCCAATCTCAACAACGAGGGATCACATGGCATTGATACGACAAGGAAGAAAAGTTTTTAACTTCAAGCCAGGGAGAGCATTCATTTCAACTTCACTGTAGATGCCGGTGTATCGGCGTAACTTGAAATTAATTGCATCGGCAGGACACATAACTTCCAAGTGAAGATCCCCTGCTGCTCGTACTTATCGCGCTAACCTTAAGATCGCTTGTGGTTTATAACTTTGAGTAAACTTGGTTTTATAACAATGAGGGCATCAGCATAGTCCCTTACTACATGTACAAGATAACTTTAAAACCATGACCTAAACTTAAAGGGTGGTGTTCTCAAAAGCGGACTAATTTTAGTCCATGGTTTAATCCATCGACTAAGTATGGAATGCCAAGTGTCCATATGAATATATTTTGGAATAATTTCATATGTCCCTAAATTACCATAACATAATTATTTCATAGCTATATTGTTGTTTATTAATTATGTTATTACATTTTATTTTGATTTAGTGACAGATTAAATTATTCAAAAACATATTCATATGGATACTTGGCATTTCATACATAGTCGATGGATTAACCCATGGACTAAAGTTAGTCCGCTTTCGAGAATACCACCCTAAGTTATTGGACTGCTATGTGAACCCAACTGTTGATACTTTACACAATAGATGGAGCTAGGCCCCGGCAGAACCAACAAGGCAGAAAGGAAGGAACAGAAGGAACTGTGTCCCAACGGTCATTTCCTTTATGGCATTTATACCCATCGATAATGATGATCCCATCCATAGACAATAGCTACCGGTACATTCTGACTGAAATACACCCAAACATAAGAGACAGATACTGAGACAATGCTTCTCCAATAGGCCTATACACGTAGCAGTACAAAAATAAACAAGAGTGGGGGTGGGGCAAAATGGCTCTATCAAGACCCAAACTAGAATTATCAAAAAAGAGAGACATGTAGGGTACAAAATTGAAAAATAAATAGTAATGGAATCCAAAATTTTACTCCTAGCAAAACCAAAATAAGCTGTGGTCAGAATACCAGAATCAGGGACATATATATGCAACAGCTCATTTGTCAAGTCGTCAACCATGCCGAGGCAAATAATGTCTATCATTATTTCTGAATGGCACAGACTCTAACTTGACACTTTACAAGGGGCATTTGCACTGCAAGCAAAAACCCTGGGGTTCCAGGGCAGCGTTTCACAAGACTATCAAATGTACAAGTTCACCAACATCAAAGTGAAATTAGGCCCGAGTCAAAACGTTTAACCGACGGTTATACGACCGCATTAATCAAAACCGTTTAGCATTTCTTGCTCCGTTTAAACATTATTTTTGTGCAGTTTGTTACATGTGTGTTTTTTTTGAGACTTCATTGCCGATACGGACATGTTTTTAGATCTCCGTAGGGGCAACAAAACCTTGCCGATAATTATTGTTTTTAGATCTCCGGAGGGGCAACAGAACCTTGCCGATAATTATTATTTTTAGATCTCTGTAGGGGCAACAAAACCTTGCCGATAATTATTGTTTTTAGATCTCCGGAGGGGCAACAGAACCTTGCCGATAATTATTATTTTTAGATCTCTGTAGGGGCAACAAAACCTTGCCGATAATTATTGTTTTTAGATCTCCGGAGGGGCAACAGAACCTTGCCGATAATTATTATTTTTAGATCTCTGTAGAGGCAACAAAACCTTGCCAATAAACAACATACATAATCAGCAAGGTTTTGTTGCCCTTCCGGAGATCTAAAAACAATAATTATCGGCAAGGTTTTGTTGCCCCTCCGGAAATCTAAAAACAATAATTATCAGCAAGGTTTTGTTGCCCCTCTGGAGATCTAAAAACAATAATTATCGCAAGGTTTTGTTGCCCTCCGGAGCTCTAAAAACAATAATTATCGGCAAGGTTTTGTTGGCCTCCGGAGCTCTAAAAACAATAATTATCGGCAAGGTTTTGTCGCCCCTCCAGAGATCTACAGTATAATAAATCAGTTGTTTTTCTTGATGTGTTGAACAAATAGTAAGATTTTGGATCAATACAAGTACGGTATATATCAACTTTGATTTTTCACTGCAGAAGCAGTAAAGGATAAGTATGAAATACGAAAATACAGCATACACCATGGTCTGTATAACAAATCTCAGCTTGTAAATGCAAATAATCAATAAAAAACAGAATTTCCACATATGGAGTCATGACAGACATACCAGAGCTTGGATTTCATTTGATTCAAGTCTACTTCAGTTTAGTACAGTAAAGTTAAGGTTGTTTTTTATGTGTTGAGCAAATAGTAGGATTTCGGATCAATATAAGTATATCAAGTTTGATTTATCACTGCCGAAGCAGTAAAGGATAAGTATGAAATACAAAAATACAGCATACACCATGGTCTGTATAACTAATCTCAGCTTGCAAATGCAAAAAATCAATAAAAAACATACATGTATATTCCACATACAGTATGGAGTCATGACAGACATACCAGAGCTTGCATTTCATTCCAGCACCTGTGGAATGTATATGGGTGCATTTGTTTACCTCCATTGGATGACTAACTTGGTGATAAGTTCTGCATGAATGCTATCACTGGCCAGCATCTCTATGACAAACAGAGGGTGTACACTAGCTGTACATCACCGCCCAACAGTACCACAACTAGTCAACAGCAGGACCTGGACCTGACCAGCATCTCTATGACAAACAGAGGGTGTACACTAGCTGTACATCACCGCCCAACAGTACCACAACTAGTCAACAGCAGGACCTGGACCTGACCAGCATCTCTATGACAAACAGAGGGTTGTACACTAGCTGTACATCACCGCCTAACGGTACTAGAACTAGTCAACAGCAGGACCTGGACCCTGTTCCATAAAACTTCTTTTTACTAACAAGCGTATCTGCCTACTAAACCTTTCACAGCAAAATTCAAGAAT